TCATGTTCACTGTGTTGAACTTTCCGTCGAACGGATTATTTTTGTTCTTTGCGCTCGATTGGTATTATTGCCGGCCGTACCTGCGAATCTGACTGCCTTCTCCGTAGAGTCATAGTTCTTTTATACCGTAGATAGAGCTTTTCTTTTTGCTTCCGGGTTCTTATTTTCGTCCCTGAGTGTTCCCATCTAGGTACTCATTTCCCCTTGCTCTAGCTAACTGGCCCGCTTTGGATTTAGCTAGCGTCAGCTTTCGGGTTCATTTGAGTCTCTCGTTTTTACTGACCGATATATTATTCCATTCAATTGCCCAATTGGTGCATTATATTGCATTGTGCAAATCTGGTCTTTCTTTCTTCTTTCGCAACTTCAGAGATTGTGGCTTCTGCCTTTGCCTCGCTTCCCGCCATAAGCGGCGCTCGTAACAGGGCTCCTCATCAACAGTTCTGTTGGTGGCTACCACCGATGTGTTGTAAGGTAAAGCCTTCGGGCAAGCATTTTACAGCATCTAGAGGTTCATTACATTGAACAGTGTCTACTATCTCTATGGCTTTATATGTTACTATCTGGGGGGTCTGGGCTGAAGCTGGCGGAACGTTGATTGCCGTTACTCGCCTGGCCAATTCCTCAATTTGTTGCATAAGCGCTTGCTCCCTCGCTTGGCTTTGAGCGGTCTGTTCTGCAAGGGCATTTGCAACGACCTCCCTTCACTCTCAGACTCTGAGTCGCTGGAGTCTTGCCAATTGTTTCTATATTCGAGAAACGGATTACTCATGTGCAGCTGGATTTAACCGCACAGAAATTCGCGCGCGTAAGCAAAGCTCTACACACACAAAGACACAAAGACGAAGGCAAAAAGCTTGGGGATCGTATTTCCTTGCGATAAGTGGAGCGACAAAATTGAATGCCTGTGTTATATATTTTTTATATAGGTCACAAAATTTAATGCCTGTTTATATATTTAGAGGTCCGAATTTACAAAATGTTGTGGAAGACGTAAAAAATATTTTTGGCCGAAGGGCCCACTTACATTTTCTGTTAGCTTCCACTAATATAATTCTCCCGGTAGTTGAGAGCCAATTATACTTTTAGTATGCGGCCCAGTGGCGGTATAGTTCCTGCACGGGCCGGGGTTGGAAGGGCACCAGTAAGGTGGTTGCTGGATATAGAGCGAGGGAGCACCGACCGTCAGCAATTTCGGCCGGAGTAACTGCGGTCAATGATCTTGGTTAGATTGACCACAGTTAACTTACACTCGTGAGAGGGCATCTGGTACGACGTTAAGTGCTCATTTACGAAAGTCGAACGCTTGCAGCTTCAGACTCCATCGTGCTAATCTGCCGAATAAATCCTTTTGACCCATCAACCATTTTAGACTAGCATGATCGGTGATCACTTTGAACGGCATGCCTTCTACGTAAGCGCGGAATTTGGTGATGCTGAGAAGGGCGGCATAGCATTCGAGCTCTGTTATGCTATAATTCCGCTGCGCCTTGTTCAGTTTGGCTGACATGTAGGCGATCGGGTGTTTGCTGCCTGAGTCATCCGTCTGAAACAAAACTCCTCCTACTCCAGTCGTTGACGCATCGCACTGAATGGTGAAGGGCTTTTTAAAGTCAGGGGTGACAAGTACAGGTGCTAATATACAATACTACTTCCAAAGTTTCCTGGTAAGATTGATTTTATAGTCTCTGAATTAAGAGAGCGTTCGTTGTCGCAGTATAGGGTCTTTATTTTTGGAAACAGATTGACAAGTTGGAGTAAAGGTGTTTTAATGTCTATAATTGCTCGCGAGCCTATGGGTTGAACGGAGGCAAACTTAGAGAACTTATCCACAGCGTTTAAAAAACATGTTCCGTCTGTTGAAAAAATGTCGACACGTCAATTACGAGAGATTTTGAATATCTAAAGACTGTCGAGGGCAATTCCTGAATCAAAGCGTGTTGAATAAATGCAAGAATGGGGAGTTCGCAATGTATTGCGTTGACGACTTCTGGCTTCACAACATCTCTTAGAAGATGTAGTAAAGAGTCCTTGCCCCTGAATTGGATAATATGTCTCATTTTATTTTGGAACAGAACATAGTTTTTGTTTGCTGGATGCAGCGATTCTTCAATCACAATTTGGTATATTTATCGGTCTGTCCGTTGTTTCAATTGTATATGTCAGGGACTCTTCACTGTGAATAGTGGCGGCGTCAGAGCCACCACTATCTTCAAGCGCGTTTACATTTTGACCGGAAAGAGCATCCGCCACTTGGCTTTGTTTGCCAGAGGTATAAACGACGGTGGCATTGTGCTCGTCGACAAACGCCTTCCAACGTATTATTTTGTCGTTTGTGTTTTTTGGTGACAGCTGACAGCCCTGACAGCTGATGTCAGGGGCTTGTGATCTGTGTAGATCGTCAAATTTTTTACCCCATATAAATAGTTTCTCAAACTCTTTAGTGCCCATACTATGGCTAAGAGTTCCTTTACATTTGCCGCCAGGTGCTCCTCGTAATTGCGAATTGCGCGAGTTAACTAGATGATCCAGGAGCGGTTATCCAGATAGAAATATGTCTCCAGTATGGTAATAGCTTTTAAGTGATGATGAGTGATGAGTGATGAGAATTAGTGCACTTAAAAATAGTATTTATGGGTAATATATATTTTGGAACATCGTGCCTTTCGTGTAACTATTTTAAAACTCTTAACAGACAAATAAAAACTATAAGCATATGGAGGGAATGAAAGAAGCGGCACTCGGTCATCCAGGTGAACTTTACTGCGGGAACTTCTCAATGTGCTTCTTATTACACATGCACGTTTGTGTGGTGGCTGATTTTGTTTTGGGTTTTCTGTTCTGTTACTGATAATTATTTGTTTTAATTTATTTTATTGTTAGCGTTGCGGCCTTTGTTGTAGTTTTTTCATTGCAGTGGCTGACAATGATTTGATTTAATTCATTTTTTTTTTCTTTTTTTGTTCCGCACTTAATCCCGGCTTCTTTCGGGCCAGTTAGAGGCGGCGGCTACGATCCTCTCTAGTTCGTGTCCATGATCCCGACGGTGTTGTACTGTTTTCTTGTACATTCGGAGTCCTCGGAGGACTATAAGGAGCACTAGTAACCCGGCAATTAGACACAAGACATTAAAGACTTTCACGATTTCGTCCTTGTGGTCTATCACTTCCACATTGTTTATAACGTTGCCTTCCGCTTTTGAAACTTTGGATCTAGGTACTCATTTCCCCTTGCTCTAGCTAACTGGCCCGCTTTGGATTTAGCTAGCGTCAGCTTTCGGGTTCATTTCAGTCTCTCGTTGCTTTTACTGACCGATATATTATTCCATTGAATTGCCCAATTGGTGCATTATATTGCATTGTGCAAAGCTGGTCTTTCTTTCTTCTTTCGCAACTTCAGAGATTGTGGCTTCTGCTGTCCCCCTTTTTGCCTCGTTTCCCGCCATAACCGGCGCTCGTAACAGGCTCGATGTCGTCGATGCGGATTCCGTATGGAACGACCTCGCAAAAAGGATCCTTTTTTTTTTGGGCTTGAGTTTAGCCCAACGTGTGGCCTCGACCCATACCCTGGGATACAGAGCCTCGTGCTCTATTGACTAAGCTAGCCGGGCTTTTTTTTTTTTTTTTTAAATAAGATTGTGAAAAAATTGGACTATTGTTTTTTTTCTTGGATATTTCATTTTACTTTATTTATTTTTTCTATTTTTTTTTTTGAAAGAGAGTTTTTTCTTTAGTATTTTTATCTATATTTTTATTTATTTATTTTATTTATTTTTTTTTTTTTAACGGTATTTTATTTATTGAATCTTCTCTCTTAGAGACTAACGACAAGTTTGCAAATCTTAATCTAGTTTATATATTTTAATTAATTACAAATTAATTTTTTAGAATAACGGCCCTAACTATTGCTGCTGGGTGGGGAGGTCTCTTCGCCGGAGTCGTGTATAGCTTGTGGTCCAGATTAGAGACCGCGCAAGGTCATTAGGATGGGCCTGGAGCTTGGGATTATACTTTGTTTTCGCTTTGTCGAGTTCGTCTTTAACTAAGCCTATGTTTAGATCTTTATGAATATTTTCATTCCGTATATACCACGGCGCTCCTGTTATAGTTCTCAGTATCTTTGATTGAGCTCTCTGGATTATTTCTAAGTTGCTGGCACATGCGTTTCCCCATAGCTCGGACCCATATGTCCAAATTGGTTTTAGGACTGCATTATACAAGAGTATTTTGTATTCTAATTTTAATGGCGAGCGGGCGTTAATAGGCCAATTATTATTATTTATTATTTATTTTTTTTTTGTTTTTATTTTTTTATAATCTGATCCGGCTCTTGGGTGCGGGTCGCGTCACCCATCCTTCCAGCCACCGCAGCTCCATTCGCGACCGGTAGACGGACAGGATGTTCCAGTCCACATTTCCATAGACCCTCTGTAGCTGGTCATCTTCTATCTCCCTCTTGAACACGTTAATCTGTTCCTGGAGTCGGTCTATTTCCTCCTTGTCCTCCTCTTTCTGAATTTGTATTAGTTTTTGGCGGATTTGGTCCTCCTTCCATGGTATTATATGTTGGTAGCAATCTAGCAGCTCGAGTGATATCTCAAGAAAGGAGATTTTCTCTGCTATCTCCTTCTTGGTCTCGCGTATATCCCACGCGACTCCATTCAAACGACGCTTTTGGGGCCTCATTGTCATTGCTGTCTGATTCGGATTTGTAGTGTTGTCGGGTTTATATAGCAGGTCTCTCCTGGCCTGATTTCGTAATTCTTACAAACTCTCTTGACCGGCGGGGATTCTTCGGATTTCATTCAGGGGGTCAGGCTATACACCAACACTTTTGCCAACTCCATTGCCTAATTCGTACAACGAATTCCCTTGTCGTTTAAGTATGACACACCGAACTCGGTTTGGCCCTAACTTTGCATTATACCCTTCCGCTCGGTTACTTTGCCGTTAGTTTTTTCGGTATACTACCTGTCCTACGGCAAACTGGACTGTATTCTGCCTACACCTGGTTTAGAACTCAATTGCAAACGGATAATACTTGTGGCTAAGGCCCTTGATCAAGTTCAATGGAACAACACCCTCGCCAGTGTGAAAGCCATCGAGAACAGCCATTTCCTCGGCGGTCAGTTCAGAATCGAAGATATCAAAGTTTTCGGAAATTCGGTTAGTATTCGATGACTTGAGGATGGGGATGACGCCGAGGCCAACCAGATAGCGCAGGACAATCTGCGGGGCAGTTTTGCCGTACTTCTTGGCAATAACGGCCACCTCCGTCGAGTAGATAAAGTCTGGCTTCTGGATATCGGGCTTCGGCTTTCCCAAAGGCGTATAGCCCGTCAAAGTAACGCCGTTCTCCTTATAAAAGGCAGTCAAAGCCTTCTGATTGAGGGCAGGAGAGCACTCCACCTGGTTGGTGACCGGCGTGATCTCGCAGTTGGCCAAAACTAGTGCCAGCTGCTCGCTATTGAAGTTCGACACTCCGATACTGCGGACCAGCCCCAGTTTCACCAGCTTTTCCATGGCCTTGTAGGTATCCAAAAAGGCCGTGTCTATATGACGGTAGCCCACATCGATCGCGTGCTTTACGGCGGCCTCGCCTTCATTGTCCTTGGAATTGTAGGTTCCCAGACCCAAAACAGGCATTTCGTAGCCATTGTTCAGTTTTACAGTCGGAGCAAGCTTCATTTTTAACGTTCAAATTTAGAATAAATGAATAAAGATTGGGGGAAAAAATAATAAGCCCTAGCTCTAGGTTTGGACGTTCTGCTTTGTTAGCTTTTTCCTTTTCCAATGCAGTTGGCGCTTGCTCTCGTCCTCTTTTTTATCGTCCGGGTTAAAGATTCATGCGCGAGCCGCCTCATACTCCGTCTTCCGCTGCTGAAATGATTTATGCGGAGAAATCTGCGCCGGGCTCGCGATCGTGTTCTCCATCCTCCTCATCCTGCTCGGTTTTTCCGCCTTAGCTCCTTGTGATGGCCGGTCTTTTTGGAACGCCTCTTCGCCGTCTTCTTCCGACTCGTTGAAAATCTCGCTGACGTGTCGCGGCCGTGCTCTCTTATCCACTTCTCCAAGCGTCTTCCCTTTTTTTTGAACTCTGCTAACGAATCTATTGGAGAAGACAACATAAATGCTCCGAGTTGGGAGCTCAAATTCTCTTTCAAAATCTCCACCAGGTCTGATTCTGCAAAAGTAGCCGAATTCGTACTCATCAGCTTTGTCTTCTAACAGTTGCCAATACCACTTCAAGGCGGGGCCTGTGCAGATTAGAAAATATTTAAATAATATGTGTGGTGTGTTCCCTCAAATTTATTCCAAAATTAATTTGCGTTGAGCGCCAATTATACTTTTATTTTTGTTGGCCCGGCGACGGTACCGTTCCTGTTCGGGCCAGTGGTGAGGGGGCACCGGAAGGGTGTGTAGCCGTCTCGCCAACATCCGTTCTTCTTCTCTCTTTAGCCGAGCCAGGAGTAGACTCCGTTTGTTAAGGGCACTCCTTTTATCGTCGAATTCGTTGACGTGAGCCCTCGCCTCATGGACGAGCTCCCTTGTTAACGCCTGTTCCTCCTTCAAACTTTTCATTTGCCGGAGGGCATTCCAGCGTTTCTTTATGGCTGGCGATGTCCTGCACAGCGAGTGAAATCCTGTCGTCGTGCCCGCAAATACCGGGTCCATCGATTGATCTCCAGCATTTGGTCAAGCTCTGCTTGTACCAAATCAATATGTTTGGTTAGCGTCTGCATCAGTCTCTCCTGTGCCTCCTGTACCATCCTGTCATGCCCAAAAACCTCCTCATCTCTGAGTCGCTGGAGTCTTGCCTATTGTTCCTATATTCGAGAAACGGATTACTCATGTGCAGCTGGATTTAACCGCACAGAAATTCGCGCGCGTAAGCAAAGCTCTACACACACAAAGACACAAAGACGAAGGCAAAAAGCTTGGGGATCGTATTTCCTTGTTATGTTATATATTTTTTATATAGGTCACAAAATTGAATGCCTGTTTATATATTTAGAGGTCCGAATTTACAAAATTTTGTGGAAGACGTAAAAAATATTTTTGGCCGAAGGGCCCACTTACATTTTCTGTTAACTTCCACTAATATAATTCTCCCGGTAGTTGAGCGCCAATTATACTTTTAGTATGCGGCCCAGTGGCGGTATAGTTCCTGCACGGGCCGGGGTTGGAAGGGCACCAGTAAGGTGGTTGCTGGATATAGAGCGAGGGGGCACCGAAGGGGTGCTTGCTGGATGTAGATCTGCTGAATCCCGCTCGGTAGTGCGGGGGAAGATGGTGCCTTAATTTGATTCTCGTAGAGATTGGTGATCCCCCGCTGCAGTCAGAGCCGGATGGCTGTACCTTTTACAATTGATGATTAGGTTGATTTACGTTGGGAGGTAACTGCCTCCTTCGCCTGCTGGCCTAGAGACTCAGGCAGTGCAAAAATAACAAGAGATATTGACGGCGATGGCCGGAGTAATGTTCACGAGCAGTGTGCTTTAGCAATAGTCTGTTTTTCGGGATGGCGATTGTATTTCCCTTTCAAACATACACTACAATTCGTTACTACTTCAGTAACAATTCTTGTCATTTTGGGAAAGAAGTAGTCTAAAAGTATTTGCTAAACGTTTTCTTGAGCATTTTATTCTCATTTTATTTTGGAACAGAACATAGTTTTTGGTTGCTGGATGCAGCGATTCTTCAATCACAATTTGGTATATTTATCGGTCTGTCCGTTGTTTCAATTGTATATGTCAGGGACTCTTCACTGTGAATAGTGGCGGCATCAGAGCCACCACTATCTTCAAGTGCGTTTACATTTAAACGACGGTGGCATTGTGCTCGTCGACAAACGCCTTCCAACGTATTATTTTGTCGTTTGTGTCTTTTGGTGACAGCTGATGTCAGGGGCTTGTGATCTGTGTAGATCGTCAAATTTTTTACCCCATATAAATAGTTTCTCAAACTCTTTAGTGCCCATACTATGGCTAAGAGTTCCTTTACATTTGCCGCCAGGTGCTCCTCGTAATTGCGAATTGCGCGAGTTAACTAGATGATCCAGGAGCGGTTATCCAGATAGAATTATGTCTCCAGTATGGTAATAGCTTTTAAGTGATTCCAAATAAGAACTGCACTTCTTTCTCCCTTTGAGTGCGAAATCAGATTAAATTTATTGTGGCGTGATGGTCCGAATGGAACCTCAGCCCAGAAAATATATGTGTGTATTACAATTATATATGTGTGTTCTCTTAAAGAGGTGACAAATACAGGTGCTGACGCCATAATAGCTTTTGGTTCTTTACAATTTCCCTTAGGTGCTAAGTAAGCCTAAGCCTCGTAGCTTCGCTGCCTACGTTTTGACGGCAGAGAGACGGCTATGTATGTATATCTATATGTTATATGTATATTGGGTATATGCATGCACTTGAGTTCGGCCGGCGTGTGTAACAGAATGCTGACACTTGCACTTTCTGTGAGCGAACTATGTCTGTGGTCCGGAGTCGGCTGGTTACGGTGATATAGATTTAAGTGATATGATATTATATTCCAATAGAATAAAGATAAACTGCTCCGCTTGAGTGTCACTCTTCGACTACCTTTATTCTCTTCTGAGTATACAAAATTGAGACCTAGCTTGGGAGTGGGGTACACATGTAGATGTTGCGAAACTCCTTAGGTCAGCAGTTCCCGGCCGGATGCCTGTGGCCGAGTTGTTTACTCGGTTCGGTATCCCTTCTGCAGTGTCGGTGGTTTTGCGTCCGGGTTGAATGGCATCTTCGCTAGGGGGACAATGCCCGAGGGGGTTTAGGTGGAGGTGATGTCATGAGGAAGACATCAGCGGTAACTCCTCCCCCCTTAGTAAGGAACGATGGCCATAACGAAGGTATGGTGGGAGTGACAATGGGGTCCGCCGGAGTGGGTGAGAAAATTATCTCCTTCCTTTTAAAGATCCAGGCAATCACCGTAATCAGGATCGATAGTGCAATGAGGATGTAGATAATCGACAGGTGAGTGGTGGTTCTTTCCTCTATGTTGGTGACTGCCAATCCATTTTCCAGATTACTAAGGTGTAATACCTGGAGGTTTATAAGTTCGTTCGTTGGGATTGTTGTTAAATTCTGGACATGGGGAAGGTTTATCTCGATCTTATCGATTATTGTGGTGGCGGCCTCGACGTATTTTGTCCCATTAGCGTAGATAGAACAATTATCGTATTTTATAAGCATGGAACCGTTAAAGATCCTGCTCGGGATACAGTTGGAAGTAATGTTCAGATTCTCCACGTTGAGGATCACCAACAACCAACAACCCTTTAAAATGAACGAAGATTTGTGGTTGGTGCCTTCTGTTCGTTGTGCTGCAGGTCGCTTCTTTATCGTCCAGCAGGTTGTAAAGGCATTCTGTATTATTGGGTGTCAAAGGAGTCTCGCAAATGAATGTACTTCCCACTTTTATACAAGGTGTCTCAATTATCTTAATTTCTAGGTCGTTCTTAATTATAACATTAGGTAAATTTACATACTTAGTTTTGTTTAGTGGTAGTGAAATAAGACGGTACAAATTATAAGATTCCTTTGAAAAAATTGGAACTTTGATGTGGAATATGAGTGTTTTATTAAGAGTGGTTGATTCTAAAGAAAGCACATTGTATAGTTCGTGTTCTAGTTGTACTTCTATTTTTTGCTCCGATAGTACATTTCTAATTTTTTCAAATTCGACCGAATTTAACAAATATTTTGGAACTAACTTTAATTTAGCAAATAGTAAGCTTTCTGCAATATTGTTTAAGTGATTGAAGAGTAAGTCTATATTGAAGTTAATCCCCTCTATATATTGAATGAGTTGGATGCTCTTATATTCTTCATCTATTCCTTTAAAAATTTTATTTTGATACGAGTTTATAAAGTCGCTTATAAGTACCTGTTCCCTGTTAATATGTTAAGTTATCTCCTCGAATCGCATCGGTTAGCTTAATATATAAATTTGTAGATACAATAAATCAATGATATAAAAATGTTTTACGTTAAAAAAATAAATAAATTCACTATAATATTAAAACACAATAATTGCAAGCCGTGAAGGGGTGTCAAAATTATTATGCAAAATAAAACATATCGAATTAATACAGTCCACTAATTTGGTATTGCAATATTTTTGAGAATAAATAAAATAAATTGTAATTAACACAGACACCTAATCTTGCCGGCCCTTGCCAGAATGTTCAGACGAACACTAATAAAAGTAAAATATAATACGTTATGAGCTCTGTTGTAAATCGATTTAATTCTTTAATCTTGAGGTTTAGGAAATTTTTCTGTCCTCCTCTTTTTTTTTTTTATTTGTTTTTCTTGATTTAGGCATTTAGGTATATATATTTTTTTTTGTATTATGGATGTATATTTATGTGTTACAGGTGTCCCTACCTAGGTAAAAAAAATGAAGACCCGCAGCTAGAATCTGCCTGGTCTGTACAATTTTATTAATATTATTGGTTGCATCGCAGATGCTTAAATTTATATAAAAAAAAGTAATGTTGGGCGCTCTTGGAAGCGCTGTCGGTTCACTTTTCCGTGGTCCGGCTTGGCGCGCCGAACGGGACCGGTGCTGGCTGCACAGGCTATTTCATCTATCGTTATCCCTTTGCTCAATAGGAGCATGTGTCGCCCACGAAGGTGAAGAAGGCGGATTGCCTTCCGCACTTGTATATTTCCATCGTTGGTGTAGAAGG